ATAAAGGCGTGGCCGAATGTCCCGCGAGTTTCCGGCGTCCTGAATAGATGACCTCGCTGAGGTCAATCAGCCATGTATGGGGTCATGGCGCTCGGTAAGGGTCTCATACCACATTGAGGTCATCATGGGTTGTATCTGATAGAGATTATTGCAACAGTACCTACATACACTGTGTCGGCTCAAAGCAAACCAATGCAATTTCAGGGCGGCAAAACTAAGACTGGATTTTCAAAGCCAACTTTTTCTAGTCAGTTAAATCAACCATAGCCCATAGCATACTGACATCTGTGAAGCAAAACTGCGATGTCACTTTGTGCCAGTTCATGAACACCTAAGTGCAAATGATAAATTTATATTTTTGATGCGTCTAGACAAACCCTGTATCACAAACATGATCTGTTCCCACATTTTCCACTGTACAAAAAGCGAGAAGTTGACCACTCTATATCAGCTCAGTGACTAGAACACTTTGTATTAGCCCAGTATAGTATCCTTGTATGTTCCTTATGTATGTATGTCTAAGTCAAGTAATGCATCTCTTGTCTCCAATTTTCTATATACGTTTGTTATGTGTCTGCTATATCTTGACCTGTACCTAGCCCGTCGTGGCATGAATGTACAATAAAGGTTTTTCCTTTAATTAATGCTGCCGGTATATAATTAGGTACTTACATGAAGAATATACCTACCAGCTTTGGGAATAATCAATAAACAGATAATGCATCAGCAGCGGCTGGTTTGCCTTTTTCACTTCAATCAATAACTCACGCAACAATATAGAAATGGGTGATTCGTTTAGCCCAAATAACAGAGGGGGCCATGAAGGTAAGGTACATCAAGGACGTTCAACACACCTTGGGTACATGTAACTGTTAGTTAGACTTGTAAAGCGGTTCTAAAACCTGGCAGCGACAGATGACTATGTATGTTACACGGCGTTAGGCGTACATTGCATGGTCTTCCATGGTCTAAAAAAAGAGAAGTCAAACCCCTTATACATAGTTTTAGACATAGCTATACATGTAGCTCTACACAACTACCTTATATCATATAGATTTTATTTATTTTATACTACGTTTCATTGTTCTTTTATGTTTGTAATCTGCAATTAGCCCCACGGGCATGAATTTGCAATAAACTTCTTCTGTATTGCATATATATTATAAGTGTGTGTATAGGAGGTATACACTGCAAGTCTGTTGTGGCATTTAGAATGGTTGAACGGGGTCCTTTCTACCGGAAGTGACGTATGACCGGTTACGGTTGAATGACAGGACACACCTTCAATCGGCAAATAGTGTCGTGTCGTGCTATACACTTTAGTTGCCTAATGTAGTCTGTAGCGGTCAAATCTTTCTTTTCATATTCCTACATTTAGGAGTGAAACCCTTTGTGCTGTCTGAGGAAACTTGGATGGCTGCTGATATGAAATGCTGTCGCTGTCAGCTGCCAGGGAAGGTTCTGAGGTAAACAGACCGGTTTGACTGTGCTACAGAACCGGTCTTAGCCACACTCGGAGACACAGGCGACTTCTGCACGAGCCAACATGAGCTATGACGGTCAGGGGAGCTCCGTTTGTGCTCTGGGTTGGCCTTCTACTGTCAGCGCAGCTGCGTCTGGGCGTGAGCACTCAGGAACATGGCCCCTCACAGTCTAAACAAACTACAGGAACAGGTAAGCTCATAAGTAAACAATGACTCAGTCGTCGAAATAAACAACATGGCGCTATCATAAGATGAAATTGTGTTGAATATGGTTAAAAATAACCTATGATAGATTATAGCACATCATGATAGACTACTTACTATAATATGTTGTCTTAGGTAGTACGATTATATTATGGGACTATATATAACGTTATGTATGTACATGTTTTACTTTGTAAAGAACAAGCATTTATAGAATGTCGTAATATATGTATAATCTTGGAATTCTAACAGCACATAAGTAATAAGCTGAGCAAAATCATACACTAATATCACTTACCATTGTCATTTCAATGAATGTTTCGACACACATGTATTAGTGTATATATCTATCGTGTTATCTGCGTATTGTAAAAAAGACATTTGTGGTAGCGAATCTTGTTACTCAAGTCTACCGTAGAAACATCAATGGTTGACGTAGCAATTGCTCCATCTGGCGGAAATGCTATTCACTGCAGAATCGGCATTTTCACCAATCATGATGATCGGTTGAACTTTTCTTTCAGATAACGATGGCTTTTGTGCCAAACAGGAAGACTGCCAAGTTGACGATGAAAAACAAAAAGGTACATATCGTCATGCATGTCATTAAGCTCTCATTGAACCGTATTTGGGTTTGGGGGGGGGTGAGGCCCGCGCCAACTTTTATGTCGGATAACATCAAAACCGCTTGCGTTGGAACAACTAGACTTGGTGACTTTTCATAAAGTGAAACAACTTGATATTAGTAAGATAAGTTTGTGTTGGAATTGTGCTGTGAATTAGATGACGTAAATCTAGTCGGTTATTACACACAGTCAACCACTTCCTGAACTCCCCCCACGCACTGTCCACTTACTCCCACCAGGTGCATGCTGGGTCATCACCCTGTCAATCAAGTAACCAAATCTCCACCCACTCCCTCTGCAACCGTCTCTGCAGGACAAGCACAAATCCAAACGACCCCCCCCCCCCCAAAAAAAAAATCCTCCGAACGCGAACCTAACCCTGACAATATAACTACACTACTACAGGGGTGCCAGAGTATACAGTGCAATTTTACTGAATGCAGTGCAATTTTACTAGTATACAGTGCAATTTTACGGAATACAGTGCNAACAAAAAACGCAAACACAAAAGGTCAGCTCCAGTCACGTAAGAACCCCCTCACGAAGCCCATTTCTGGCCATCGCAATGCGGATCACTAAGACAACCTGCCTGCCAAAAATCGTGAACCACGGACCATGCCTTCAAACTTTATCGTGCATAATCTGCAAAACAGTGCAAAAACGATTCCATTGCCTTCTGTCGAAGGCATATAGTGGCACTGTTCCAATGACACGTGTTTTTCTGTCAACGCCATCTTGTTTCACATAACATAGAATGTGAGATTTTTTCGGTAATGGAGGGATTTTATAAAGGAATTTGTGCCACGTTAATACCCCGCCTTATCCTCGGTGTATATGGTGAGATAATCCCTGGTGAGGTGCGAATACCACCTCATAAACCACGGACTGAGCGTATACACCCCGGGGCGAGGCATTAACCCTTAAGTATGACACGCGTTTGTGTGTGATTCAACGTTAAAACTTTCGTTGCTTGTGATATTTCAAAGTGACGTTTCTGTTGAAAACGATGTCTAAGACTCAACCACGACACCTGGCGGCCACACCGAGTACTTGCAATGAATTATGAGGGGCCCTGACTGACTGAGGGTTGGAAATTAGCAACATCAAATGGGTTTAGAGATATACCACCAAAATGAAATGTAGTCAGATCAGTGTGATCATTAAAGTAACAATGTATAATCATTATAATTACTAGTATGATTTATAATTACTAGAGTGATTTATTGTTTTTGAATAAATGAATGCGGAAGAACTGTGACGGTTGTACTGCCATTTTCTTACTGCTTCAAACGATATTAATTCATTCCATTTTTTTCAATAAGACACCCACTCCCCTCAACCTCTTGGTTGGTCCCCTAAGAAGTGACGTCAACAGATGACGTCACTAAATAAAGGCGTGGCCGAATGTCCCGCGAGTTTTCCGCGTCCTGAATAGATGACCTCGCTGGGGTCAATCAGCCATGTATGGGGTCATGACGCTCAGTAAGGGTCACGTAACCACTACAAGGTCATCATGGGTTGGTATCTAATAGAGATTATTGGGGGCCCGCAAGCCCTTTTCCGTAGAGCGTAATCGGCCGTTTAAACCCTACGTAGAGCGTAGACGGACCGCTCTAATATTTTTGCGTAGAGTGTATTCGGCGTTTTAATTCTACGTAATGCGTTGTAGCCACTTGGAATTTATGGTGAAGCGTAATCGAGAGGTTTCCGAATTCAGCGTAGAGAGTTGTCGGGGCCCCCACCTGCAGGCACTCATTATTGAAACAGTACCTACATACACTGTGTCTGCTCAAAGCAAACCAATGCAATTTCACGGCGGCAAAACTAAGATTGGTTTTTAAGAGTCAACTTTTTCTAGTCAATTAAATCGGCCATGCCCATATCCCATAGCATCTGTAAAGCAAAACTGCAATGTCACTTTACTCCATTTCATTAATGCTGTATATAATTAGGTACTTACATGAAGAATATACCTAGCAGCTTTGGGAATAATCAATAAACAGGTAAATGCATCAGCAGCGGCTGGTTTGGCTTTTTTTATTTCAATCAATAACTCACGCAATAATATGGAAATAGGTGATTCGTTTAGCCCAAATAACAGAAGGGGCCATGGAGGTAAGGTACAATGTAATTGTTAGTTAGGCCACACCAAGTGAATTTTATGGATGACGTCCTTTGGAGACCCTAAATCTAGTGCGAGAGGGAGAAAAAAACAAGAAGGGCCCTAAAAAACAAGATGCCTAGATTAGAAATATACTAAGAGACGACAAATGTTGGGACACAAATTGAATGATGTGAAACAGTGTAACAAGCAAGAAGTCTTTTATTCATCATCAAAACAGCAATAAATCAAGTGGAAGCAGTTGTCGTCCTGTCCTGTTTCCTTCCTTCAATCATATCTTCCCTTATCACACTGTCGTGACTCTTTGGTCTTTTCTAGGAACAGGCCAAAATCAATGCGCGCGCGGACGTCATCCATAAGATTTTCTTGGTGTGGCCTTAGACTTAACATGTAAAGCGATTCTAAAACCTGGCAGCGACAGATGACTATGTATGTTACACGACCGTTATTTGTACATTGCAGTATGTGTATAGAAGGTATACACTGCAAGTCTGCTGTGGCATTAAGGAGGATTGAATGGGGCCCTTTCTACCGGAAGTGACGTATGAGCCGTTACGGTTGAATGACAGGACACACCTTCAATCCACAGTACGGCAAATAGTGTCGTGTCGTGCTATACACTTTAGTTGCCTAATGTAGTATTTAGCGGTCAAATCTTTCTTTTTTAATATTCCTACATTTAGGAGTGAAACCCTTTGTGCTGCTAAGGAAAATGGCTGCTGATATGAAATGCTGACGCTGTCGGCTGCCAGGGAAGGTTCTGAGGTAAACAGACCGGTTTGACTGTGCTACAGAACCGGTCTTAGCGACATCCGGGGACACAGGCGACTTCTGCACGAGCCAACATGAGCTATGACGGTCAGGGGAGCTCCGTTTGTGCTCTGGGGGTGCCTTCTACTGTCAGCGCAGCTGCGTCTGGGCGTGAGCACTCAGAAACATGGCCCCTCACAGTCTAAACAGACTACAGGAACAGGTAAGCTCATAAGTAAACAATGACTCAGTCGTCGAAATAAATAACATGACGCTGTCATAAGCTTAAGTTGTGCAGAAAATGGTTATAAATAACCTATGATAGATTATAGCACACCATGATAGACTACTTACTATAATATGTTGTCTTAGGTAGTACGATTATATTATGGGACTATATATAACGTTATTTATGTACATGTTTTACTTTGTAAACAACAAGCATTTATAGAATGTCGTAATATATGTATAATCTTGGAATTCTAACAGCACATAAGTAATAAGCTGAGCAAAATCATACACTAATATCACTTACCATTGTCATTTCAATGAATGTTTTGACACACATGTATTAGTGTATATATCTATCGTGTTATCTGCGTATTGAAAAAAAGACATTTGTGGTAGCGACTCTGGTTACTCAAGTCTACCGTAGAAACATCAATGGTTGACGTAGCAATTGCTCCATCTGGCGGAAATGCTATTCACTGCAGAATCGGCATTTTCACCAATCATGATGATCGGTTGAACTTTTCTTTCAGATAACGATGGCTTTTGTGCCAAACAGGAAGACTGCCAAGTTGACGATGAAAAACAAAAGGTACATATCGTCATGCATGTCATTAAGCTCTCATTGAACCATATTTGGGGGGGGGGGGTGAGGCCCGCGCCAACTTTTTTGTGGGATAAGGCCACACAGACTTATTTTTATGGATGACATCCTCTGAAGACCCCCAAACTAGTGCGCGCGGGCGAATAGAAAAAAATTCCGGCCAAAAATAAAAATGTTACTAAACCACAGGAATACACAGCTGGTATTGTGAATTTACGGCAGTACATAACGACATATACGACAGGCCGGCACATGCTGGCTTTTTGCGGAATTTATGAATCGGCACTGTACGTATGTACTGAATTCTTGAGTCGTGCAGCCTGGGTGCCGTCCTCCAAAATTACCACAGGCTCCGTATTGTCACTAGCTACCATGGACTATCCAGGCCTAGAGCCAGGCTTGGGCCTCGGAGGGAGGACGTAATCTTTTTTTTTTTTTTGAGAACAGGCAAAAATCAATGCGCGCGCGGATGTCATCCATAAAATTAAATCGGTGTGGCCTAACATCAAAACCGTTTACGCTGGAACAACTAGACTTGGTGACTTTTCATAAAGTGAAACAACTTGATATTAGTGAGATAAGTTTGTGTTGGAACTGTGTTGTGAATTAGATGACGTAAATCTAGTCGGTTATTACACACAGTCAACCACTTCCTGAATCCCCCCACGCACTGTCCACTTAATCCCACCAGGTGCGTGCTGGGTCATCTCCCTGTCAATCAAGTAAGCAAATCTCCACCCACTCCCTCTGCAACCGTCTCTGCAGGACAAGCACAAATCCACCCCCCCCCCAAAAAAATTGTCCGAACGCGAACCTAACCCTGAAAATATAACTACACTACTACAGGGGTGCCAAAGTATACAGTGCAACTTTACGGAATATAGTGCAATTTTACTAGTATACAGTGCAATTTTACTGAATACAATGATGCCACATGCCCTGTGTAGTGCTTTAGCTAAAGGTCTATCTACGAGAACGGTCCAAATTCGCTCGAAAAACCGTCAGCGGGGTCCACCATCTTGAAAGTCCCGGGAAGCTGAGTCCAGTTCACGTCACTAGTAAAATTACACTGTATACTAATACGATTGTACTGTATTCCGTAAAATTGCACTGTATACTAATACGATTGTACTGTATTCCGTAAAATTGCACTGTATACTAATACGATTGTACTGTATTCCGTAAAATTGCACTGTATACTAATACGATTGTACTGTATTCCGTAAAATTGCACTGTATACTAATACGATTGCACTGTATTCCGTAAAATTGCACTGTATACTAATACGATTGCACTGTATTCCGTAAAATTGCTCTGTATACTAGTAAAATAACACTATGTTCCGTAAAATTGCACAGTAAACTCTGGCACCCCTGTAGTAGGAAATCTTACGCCATAGATTTTTTGTAATCATTTTTAATTCACCAATTGCAATTTCACACTTCCCATAATGTAAAGATTACGGATATGGATGGGATATGACGTAAGAAGGGGATATACGGAAATAATTCAAAACAATATACTAGTAGTTGATCAGTTTGTCGATAGAACTGTTGGAAATATTACATCGAGGAAGGGGGAAGGGAGTTGGTCATACGTCATATCCGTGATCTTTACTTGGAATAATGGGAAGTGTGAAATTGGTGAATACCAAATTTTACTTTTTACCAACAGGTAGATCTGAACCTCAGGGACAAAATGGCGGATTCTTCCCAAACCTGCCGAAGCCGCCCAGACTGCCGACGCCGGCAGAGATTCTACAGAAGCTGCCTGACGGTCCGCCCCAGCTCCCGGACCTGTCCACAGTCATGGATAAGCTACCTAAAGCCACAGAACTGTTGAAAAAACTGCCGAAAGCACGAGAGGTTCTGAAGAAAGTGCCGAAATTGCCCGATTTCCCTGACCCTCCAAGTCTGAAGAAATTCGTAACAGCCAAGCTTAAGTTTGCTCCAGGTTAGTGTTTGTTTTCTTGTATTTGTTGAGGCCTTTCTGTCCCTGGTCTTCAACATTACTTACGAACGTATTACGCCCTAATTATCTTCGCCAAGAAGGTTATGTTTTCAAAGGCGTTCGTGTGTGTGACTGCGTCTGTCTGTCTGTAAACACGATAACTTGAGAAGGCTTAAATAGATGGTAGGTATTAGGTCTTCATTTGCATAGTTTATGAGGAAATGATAGAATGGCTTTCTTTGTTAAGATAAGGCTCTCTTTTGGTGGAGAATATGATCAACTGATATAATTTATGGAAATGAGGATCCTATTTGCATAATCAGGAGGAATAATCTTTTGGCGAAGGTATGAGATCGTGGAACTCTAGTATTTATTTTTATTAAATGAGATTTGTGAAAGCATTGACAACATATAATTAAAAACACGTGGCCAAATATCTTGGTGCAATATTTATTCACTTCCTACCATAGGTTTACAATTCACAAGCAAGTCTTCTGCAGTCAGTCTGTGGAAAGTTTTCAATATATTGTTTTCGTTTGTCACGTCGTCATGCCTGCACTTCCACCGCTAGGAGGCGCCACTAACACGTGAGACAGAAACGCGTCATACAGGCCAGCTGCGCCCCCTTGCGGTTTCAACCGTTCATCTGTGTTGGAAATCATCACATTTTATATTATCAGACGTTGAGACACATTACAGTGTTGAAAAATGACTTTGTAATGTTAGTATTATGAGTCTCTTATATTCTGGAGTAATCTCATGTCAATTTATTTCAAACATTAAGTCGATAGTAATCAAAACGGCTTGGTATTTCTGGTTAAACATCGCTTAATAGGTATTTTATCTTAAGTATATGAGGACCAGTATAGACAAAAGCAAGTGACAGACAGACCGGCACTTTTTGGTAAATTTTGCACTGAGAGGCAAGAATGATTAAATTCTGTAGGTCTGTTTATGGCTGATGCATAATATTTATAATGATGATAATAATAATTACTATGATCACTATTCATGTGTTACGTTGCTCCTGCCCCTCCCAATGTTGTTTCTGGAGAGGCCCTTTTACCGCACAGCAGCCTTGTTTTTAAAAAGTGAATTTTGCGTGATATTTTTTACAATTTCAAAAGTTGATCACTTTTATAAGCACAGGTGCATATTTCTGCTTGTAAGCTGTAGAACTGTAATGGATGAAGTTGACTTAGTTCATATTGAAGAAGTTGTTTTTTTCCTCATGTGGAACTCACAATTCTAATGTGCTTAACATTACATGTACAATACTGAACCTACTCATAAAAACGACAATTTCTGTATCAAAAGATCACGGCAATTTTCCTGGGTGCAGGATTCAGAAGCATTAAATAGCACATTTTATTTGAGAGCGAGAGAATGAGAGAGCGGGAGGGAGAGGGAGAGAGATCTAGAGAGAGAGAGTGTGTGTGTGTGTGTGTGTGTGCGCGTGTGTGTATGTGTACGTGTGTTTGTGCGTGTGTACGTGTGTACGTGTGTGTACGTGTGTGTGTTTGTGTACGTGTGTGCATATGTGTTTGTGTACGTGTGTGTGTGTGTGCGTGTGTGTGTGTGTGTGTGTGTGTGTGTGTGTGTGTGTGTGTGTGTGTGTGTGTGCGTGTGTGTGTGTGTACATGCAGACGTTTTTAATAGTTGATAAAAAACTACTGCCTTCCCTCAGTAGAAGTGGAGGTACATGTATTTCACAATAGATACAGGCATGTAGAAAGACAGGTCGGTTGGGGTCTCAGTTGGTGGCATCTAAATACTTCACCCATGCTTGGTGGAACGTGTGTAGCGTTTTTATTTTCAGGGCCAGAAAATGAAACCTCCGCGTTGAAAACTACCTCTGGCTGGTAAAAAAACATTGTGTCGGGAACAGGAATAGATTGCTTAACTCTTCCCCTGGGCCTATATGTTGTTACATAACCAACTCTTTCAGTGGGTACCTAACCTGCTCAATAACGTACACTCCCTAGATACTGTACCGACGACGGTTTGCCCTGTTTGTAGACATAGATACCCCTATGTTACAGTCTTTTCCGTCCTTCTCATACTTTTCCAAGACAGATTTTGCAGTCGGGTGATGCAGGGCTTGTGCGTGTAGATATGCCATGTTCCGTCGTGTCCTTGAGGGTGTGTGTATGTGTGCAGCCTGGTACTTCACGTTTGCCTGCTGTCTGCTTGCCAATGCAGGGGGATTATTATTATACAGACCACTCCTGGACATTAGGGCTCCCCGCGTTCTACCATACCTACCAGCGAAGACCCTAACCCTGTCCCTACCCGCTACACACACGCCATACGATCTAACGTTTGCCTTCCTCTGCCGTGTATGTATCTGTGGGAGTGATCTAGTACGAGGGACGGTGTTGTAGGGTAGATGTTTGCCGCCCTGTCGGGTTTGTGAAGGAAGGGCCACGTTAGCGGCAGCGGCGTAGAAAGTCACTACTTCGTCTGGGTACGCCTCAGTCCGTGTGTTCACGTAGTCGGTGTAGTACTCGTCTGGGATTTCCCAGTAAGGATTCTGCCCCCCAGGCCGTGTGTTGTAGTAGTTGTAGTACGCGTCTGGGATCTCGTCGTACTGGTGCAGGTCACTTTCAGCGGTCTGTGTGGCCGCATCAGTCGCGCTGACGGGGCTCCCATTGACCGGGGCGTTCTCGCCACCTGCCCCGCCGAGTACCCAGCGATTCAGGGGGACGACAGGTGGCGGAGGTCGGTTGTCCTGCCGCGACGGACGGCGCTGATTTCTGATAACACAGACTACTAGCAGTGCTACAAGCTCTACCCCTACTACAGCTAACACTGAGGCTATCCCTGTGGTGATCCCCACATACTCGTACATGCACGCGCATTGCTCCTTCCCCGGTCGCGCCCTCATAGTTCTATTTCCTGTCAGTTTCGTCTGATTCCTAGCGACCTCAGTTGTCAGGGTGGTAGGTTTTATTGTGGACAGTTGGGTCATCTTTACTGTTGTGTCACCAGGAGTGCTGGGCACGGTCTTTGTGGTCTTTTCCACACACACGGTGTCATCAGGAGTGCCAGACACGGGCGCGGTGAAGACATGTCGGTAGGTTTCCCCCCGAGCGTCCACATGACAAGTCACGTTTATCATTTCTTCATGACCAAAGGTGCTGATATTTTTGTTGTGGACATCAGTATAGGACATAATTCTGTTCACACTATCGGCTATGATGTCCGATACAACTACAGCAAAGGTTTGGGGCAGGGAGTCTAGACCCGTAGGAACTATATGTAGTGCAGTGTCTCCCCCCAATGCTACTTTTACGCCTGTAGAAGTTCCCCAAGCCTGTGTGCACAAGTGGGTGATGTTTGAATCGTGTCTCTCTGTTTCTGTGCTGACTGAAATGGCCACAAATGGCAGGGTATACTTAATCTGGTTTGTTGTGATGAACTTGCGTTTTTCCCCAAGCTGGTAGCATAGACTGATCTGCTCCAGGTCGGACGGAAGTAGGTGTGAGGTATTGTAGTGTGTGTGAACGTGATATTGTGCTAGTTTAGGACCTTTAAAGATACAGAAAAGCATCTGGTTAACCCTAACTGCAACTTTTACGCCTGAGAATCGGTAGTAAGAATAATCAAGTCGCCAGGTCAGTACCAAAGGAGCAGAGTTACCGAGAATAAGCAATCTATTCCCGCCCAGTGCCAGCTTTTCTAACTTTAGCCCGCTCATAGTCTCCCAGGACACACACGTTAACTCATTTCGGCTCAAGTCTAGCCGGCTGAGCCTTTTCAGTGACTTGAATGCCTGGGGGTGAATGCTCTTGATAGAATTTGATCTCAAAGACAGTTGGGTTAATTCCAGATTGTGAAACCAAGATGGCTCGACACTTTGCAATGCGTTATTGTCAAGTAGCAATGTTAACAGGGCAGTGAGCTTTTGGAAGCAGGCTGAATCCATGCTGCTTATATCATTGTGGGAGAAGGACAGAGTCCGCAACAAGTGTGGAGATTTTAACCATTCGAACCAGGCTCGTTTCACGTGAGTCAAGTTGTTGGAATCGAGCTGCAAGGAACTCAATCTAGGAAACGCGGCCAAAGTGTCCTGTTCTAAATCTGTGATCCCACATTCCACCAAAGCAAGGATATCGATCGTTAATGAAGGAGGGAGCCGTAGTTTCTGAACTGAGAGGAACCCAAATGTGAACCCCCTAACCGCCACGGTACCTTTACGTTTAGGGGGAAGGCAAAGCGCAGTTGGTCGGGAGGAGTTCTTCCCGCTACCCGCAGGCTGTGGCTGTAGCTCCGCGGGACAAAAGACACAGGTACCCCGTGTACGCAGACCCAGACCATGAGATTTACGAAAAGGGACGCAGTCTGTCCATTGATCAGTGTGCTTGCACCCAGGAAAACATGCCGGATCTAACCCTAAACATACAACTACGATAGCGAGAACAATGACAATCGTCGGTGCTACTTTGAACATATTCAACGATCACTATGTTTTAACACCCAACAAGTAATGACTAGACTTAATACAAAGCCCTTTTCTCTAGTTTTGTTGTCTGCGAAGGCCGCTTTGATTTTACCCTCTTTCGGGGTGGGTGTGCAACAGGCCGGCTGTCTCACCTGAAAAATGAACGGGAATCATTGTAATCTTTTTGTCTTATATGCAGGTGATATACGAGATACTCTATCTATCGCCGGTATAGCACAATGGAAATGGCCAGGATAGCAGACAAGCTTATAGGCATCCAGTGCAGTTTTTAAGGCTTTGAACCAGATTTTTCAAAGTCAATACTCTAATCACTTCTCTAAATACTAAGTTGAAACAACACTGTCCCAATGTATATCGACATTCGTGGAGCAAAAATGCCCAAAATTCTGACGAAAAACGGTTACTGGAAGGACCTGGATTGATTTTTAGGGTTACTAATCTTGGGGCGTGTTTCTGCAGTTTTAAATACCTAAAGTATGAAATACTGATTCAAATGCGCTATTGTGGGATAGTATGTGTCAACATCATACAGATGGCT